CAGCCCAGCACAGTACAGCCCAGCCCAGCCCAGCCCAGCCCAGCACAGCCCAGCACAGTACAGTACAGCCCAGCCCAGCCCCCTCTTCACTATTCACATCAATCAACTAAGTCCAAGACAAAAAAGATTGAGTGTTTAACTGGGACAGATTTTCACCTAAATGCAGCTAAAAACAAAGCCATCAATAAGCGAGTTGTACCTTAACTGTACCATCAGCACTTGCTGTAAAAAGTCTGGTCTCTGTGGCATCCTGAGTCAAGGTTGTAATTTCTGAGTTACCATGTGCATTGGCAAACTAAAGGAAAACAATTCAAACACAAGAAAGCTCCATTTTCTACCTTTAAAAGCACACACAACCCACAATTCCTCTAATCACTCCGACGAAGGGCTAACACTAGAAACATCAGCTTTTGTAATCATTACGGTGGCCAATTTACCATTTCAACTTTGTTGATATATCCAAATCAAACACAAGAAAGTTTGGAGGAAATCAAAACACCATGTAGAATCAAGCTGTTATTAAAGTAAAGAAATGGTACTTGATCGCGGGTGAGCTGCAACTTTAAATTGCTAAAAGGAGGCCTGAAAAAAATACAAGCTTTGACAGGATTCAAACTTGTACCTCCCAGATACTGGCTGGGTGCTTCTACTCTAACAAGATACTGCTGTATTCATCATTTCACTGTGTGATTTTGTTAAATGCAGGTTAATCAGCATTAGGATTGACACCTGTAATATGCAACGAAGATTGCGACTCTTACTTGTTTGACTTTCTGTCCTGTTTCTATCATCCACATGGTAATAACAGATCCAGTACATGCACTGACCACCTACACGGTAGAGAGAGGTGCTTAGTTTACAAAAAGAAACCAGGGTTGGCCTTTAATTTTAAAAAATGATTGTGAACAATCATGTACCTGGTTAAACTTGCTGTTGTAAATGGCAGCAGTGACTGGATGTTCATGGCTCATGATTCTGTCTTTAACTTCCGGCTTCATTACCATCAGGGTAAGCTGACAGGTCAATAAAAAGAAATGTTTCTAGTTACACCCCAAAGGTTTCTTTGTGTATAATCCTTTGAGCATAAAACTAGATGCTTTGGGAAAATAAAAAATAAAAACAAGAAAAAGCTGTTGTGTTTGATGGCAGCCAAATGCTTAGAATAGACTACCAGTACCTTAATTACCTCCTTTTACAGTGGGAAACCTTAAAATTACATCAACATAAACAGAGTTTTGATAAATTAATGGTTTCACATCATGATGTTAACATGGTTCCTAAAAAATTTGTTTTTTATTGTAATTTACCTGCTGATTAAAAGCTGTGAAAAGTTTGCTGTGTTCTTCATCATAATACATTGTGATAGATACTGAAATGAAAATAATATTGTACATGTCATACATTAATTAAATGGTGCATTTATTTGGCATCCTTAGGAACTTTCATTTATGATTGGTTTGGCACACAAGAATGTACAACTATAACACCTATAAGAGCTCAATGAGAGTTGCCTTTCCTCACAGTTGATACAATGAAACTTCATGTAGGTAAAAACTGGCATGGTTAATACATGTTATTGTTTGACTGGATAATTCAATTTTTTTTGTGAATATAGCACTTGTTAGTTTGTCATTGCAGTACCTGATTTAACTAAATTTTAAGTGAAAATCATTTATATGTACTTTGTAACTATATGATGAAAAAGAAACTTATCAATTTAGGAGTTTATCAGATCACATTATACACTGAATAGACAGACTAAGAACAGTATAGAGATTTATTACACAACTCGGGCAGTCAGAGGGCCAATAACTAAAATCAACCAATCAAAATGCTCTATTGCCAGTCCAAGATTCTCTAGGTATTGGACTGGGCACTGTCCAAATGGTCCCGAATGACACCGCACTTGTGTCCCTTTGAACTTCAGTCGTATAATAAATCTCTTATTAACCAAGCTTGCTCAGGACCGCACTGGAAGAATATTGGCCCTAGGTCTTTTTTGTATGGACTGAGCGTAGCGAGGTCCGTACTGTCAATACCTCGGGCTGATATTCTCCCAGTACGGCCCTCGCACTTGGTTAATAAGATTATGTATTGACTGTGAAGAGGTGATATCTATCACATGGATGTAAGACAACTTTCAAGCATCCAATTACAGGCCTCACCCAATAGGACATTACTAATAATTGTAATGTGATTTTGTTTGCCTTAAAAACTACAATCTACAACTTTTAAATTTCAGTGACATGTCTGTTGAGAAATGCAGGTCTATTACCTTCTGATGGTCCTTTAGGAAACATTCCTGACAGACGTTGAAGACAAACCTGAAGGTGAGTGTCCCAAATCCGGAGAACCTGATTCATACAAAAAAAAGAACATGTCAGTTTAGGTACTCTGACACGACCTTTGAGAAAGACTTCTTTTATCCCCACTATACATCCTCGACGCAATGAAAACTACATAAATTCTCTTGAAATATGAATCTGTTTAATAATGTTGTCATAAACTCAAAACTTTTTAGATGACATTAAATGGCACTGAGTTTGACCATGTATTGGTCACTTGACTACAATACAGTACCTGATTTTTTCAGGTCTGATTTTCGCTATTGCTTAAATAGCGCTATCTACTGCGAGGATCGTGCATCATACGAATACAATACCTGTAAGTTCATTAGTTACAGTACATAGTTTGACAGCACAACATAAAGTAGATAAAAAGAGTAACAGCTCACTTTGTCTTTTGACAAACTGATGAGCTGGCCTCTTGTTTCAATGAATCTCACTGAAATAACACTTTGCATATGACCTCTGAGAACCTGGAAACACAAAATCACAAAAAGTAAGGCAAAGAGTTCATAATATGGCACTACAAAACAATTAACATTTCACAAAACAAAAGGAACAAAGACATAATATTATGGGTATTCTTTACAATCTAGTGGCTTTTGTTCTTGTACTGGTATTCATATTTTTGAGATATAATTCAAGTTACCTGTTATCTCAGACCATTTTGCTAATTGGCCACACGACCCAGTCTAACCAATTATCCTAAACACAACCAAAATGCAAGTAACTTTACCCCAACTGGTTTGGAGATGACATATGGGTTCCATAGGCACACATGGTGATTGACTCCTGCTGTAGCTGAAATAGGATAGCAGAATCCTTATGAACAGATTGTACCAAAGAGAGAAACTCAAAGAAATAACTAAGCATGATGGTGTTATGTTGTGTGCAATATTTTGAGCTTACTTGAACAAAGGGATGAAGAAGAACAGACAACACAGGTAAAATAAACCAAATAAGAATGGGAATTGTTCAGGATTGGTAAAGATTTAAGGGGAATGTTTAAAAGTCAACCTTGAAAAATTCTTTGTAGATTAGGGTAATTCAAATGCACTAACCACAGAGGGAAGTTCAGACAGAGGGAAGTTCTATAATATAACTTTGACCTTTCCACTACCAAGAACTAACTAGCAATTCTCCTTATTGTCTGCCATAGAATCCTTATAATGCTAGAATAGAGAATTTGGCATTTGATCAACTAATAATCCTTTCATTGATATCTTTCTTTATTCTCATCACTTGTCTGCGTGATATTGTATTGACATTGTAAGGAGAAATTCTGTCTTGATCACTCATGGAAGGTTAAGGGTTAACTGTATGCTTATACTGTTAGTAGGTATCTGTGACATTCCAGGTGAATAGTAAAAGTCCATTAACAGTTTTGTTCGAGTCAGAACAATATGGGTACTATATAAATTCAAAAAGGAGATGAAACCTCACCAATCAAGTTGATTCTTTCACTGTAGTCAAATGCATTCACACCTTGTGGAATTTTAAACTGTGTCCTATTCAAAAATAAACAAAATAATATATTAATGCTTAAAACAACACCTTATGTGACACTTTACAACAGAAGTGATCCTCAGAGATTTTTCTTGTCTTTTAAAGTTTCATTCATCACACTCACGTCCTCATGTTCATTTTTGATTTTTCAATCCATCCAAGCACCAGTGAGTTCTTGTAGTTTGTGGCACATGATATGAAGCAGTCCAAATGAGCTGAGTACATCACTGCAACAACAATAAAACAGAGTGACATTGACAGGTTTAGGGCCGTTCTATAAGTTACCAAACAAGTAAGTTTTTTTCCTCTCAGATTTGTGGCCCAATCATGAAGTCCCCAAGCCATAGATTTGAGCAGAGAAATGAGGTTCTAGCTGTTACTTACAGCACAGACACTGAGAAAATGTGGTTAGTAAGATATTTTTTGTACCTCAAGGTTGAAATAGAGGGGAATTAAATATCTTAATTCAAACAAACTTTAAACTAAGTGGGCTGTTAAGTAAAATAAGACCACTTGATTGACCAATCTTAACACACCAACTAACTGAGAGATAAAATAATTTATAATACACATTCTGTTAGTTTTGTCATGTCATCAGTTGTGTCTTTATTAGTTGTATGACTCACTTTTTTCCTGGCTTCTAGTTCACTTCAACTTACCTTGCCTTGCCCATTCTGTGTGTCCCTGATGCTTCACAAATCTTGCATTCTTGTAGTAACCTCTATTTACATCCTGAATATTCACATTCAAACAAACATCTGCAAAAAAAATTGGCAACAGAGGGTTTAGTGTATGTCAAGATTGGGAACTTGACACACTCCAAAATCATTTGAATACTTACTGAGAGAAATGCCTGCAGAGACTCTACTGCAGGTATCATTCAAAAAAATTTGAAATTGCCTATAACCCTTGGAGCCATGAGAGTGACTAGCATGTAAAATTACCTTCTTTCAATATCACCCTTGAATCAAACATTAAAGGTCACAAGAATAAAGGAAAAATTATCACATACATGTACTGAAGAAGTACTTATTGATTGTTGATTAATAATAAACACAAATTCTCCTTGTCAGCAACTTGAAAAATATATGGAGAATAGTATGGAGAATATGAATACTGATAATAGGGTGTAATGGATTTAAAGCCTGTCTGGTCAGCTACTTTTCTGGGAGCAGAACCAATAAAAACTTTAAGCCATGAAAGTCAGAGCTACTTACTGTAGTTCCTTGCAGAGTACAGTTAAAATAAATGATCAAACAGGAAAAATATTCTTCACCTTGTTTACTTCCTGCAGGTTGTGATGGACGATCAAACAATGCCATTGTTGCTGCTGAAAACAGCAGCGCATTAACCTGGCCATGAACATCTCCATAAACAAGAATTGCTTCATTTGTTTTGTATGGGTTACTCCTGTTAACAACAGAAATGAATGAATAATCAAGCCACCGTGTAATATGTCTGGTTTGCTATTCATGAGGTGTCATACTGTATAAAGCAAAATTCTATACAACAACTGGTAAACTCAAACTTTAGAAATCACTTCCAGTCTATTAGAATAAATCAGGATTACTAAACAGAAGAAAGGTACTAAGAAACAATGGGACATACCAGTAGTCCATACATAAAGGTGTATGCTCCAGGCCTTGTATTCTGAACTGACAGTTGAACTCTGATTTGGAGCTCAAATCATAAATAGCTGAAAAATGATCAGTGGAATTGGTGAACTTTTTAAATTTGCTTTCATCATAAATTAGAGCAATAGGCCATTTTACAGTTGTGTACTTAGTTGCCAAGCCTTTGATTCAGAGTGAGGCTAAAGATGACCTTGTTGTGATAGAGACCTGTATCTAGTTAGCATGATAACAAAGTGATTTACATTTGAAAGGCAGCAAGGTTTGTATCATAACAAGGTCATCTCTAGCCTCACTCCCATTCAAAGGCTTGGCAACCAAGCACACAACTGTAAAATGGACTATTGGTCACAACTATAACCTCTGGGTTAATAAAGGAACCATGAGAACACAATGTCATCCCTAGCCTCAGTCCCGTTAAAAGGCTTGGTAACCNTATGATAATTTGGTTTCATCAACTGAGTTCATAAATGTAAATTGGCCATTATAAAGAGTTCCTAAAGTTGATGCTTCAAGCATTAGCCCCTCATCAGTGAGAGCAAAACAGTCTTGCTTACCCAATTCAATCACACAACTATAGATAAAGAAAAAGTTTTCACTCATTACTATTGACTACTATTAAACACTTCTTTCAGTTATCACTGGCAAACCTGTTCATTTCAGATATTGTGATACAAATACCCAGTCAACACATGTCCTCACGCTGTTCAAATCTGGCTCTAATTCTATCAGTGGTTAGTCATGGTGATATACAATTTACTGTGTAATGATTTACTGTAGTTTTCAGTTCCTGACACAAAAAAATATACTCTAGATGTATTGCACTGATCTGTTCTTTACTTATCTTACCAATTTCTTTACTTGTAAGAGCAAGTGCCAGTTTGTAAATATTTTGCATTGGTATAAAGTCTGTAACCCAAAGGTCCCTCTGTTTTACTTCATCTTGATCAGTATGAACCTTAAAATAGTTGATATTGATTAGATCAGTCCCTTGAATTTTTCAAACTATTTTGGCATAGATTAACTCCAAGAGGAGAAGCTCACAACATATCAAGAAAATAGAAGTTGCATGTCAGCCCTTCAAAAATAAAATAGAAAAAAAAAGAGAGGAGCTCTTTGCTTGGCACTCTTTTTACCTGAACAGTTCTTAATGGCTTCATGTTCTGTGCCCAAAGGGAAATTACTCCTTCCTGGAAAATCATAGGAGACAAAAAAATTTAAAATAATTGACAGACATGGATTACCACTTCCTCTGAGCACTTGTGAGAAATGATGTCATACTAATTGAAACTGTTTATAATAATAAGAAAGCAATTGCTAGCAATGAAAGATTGTTAAGAGACCAACTGACAGACAAATGAAAGAGGAACACCATGTGTTGCACATTATGTCTGGTTAAGGTACATTGCATGGTTTCATCATGACATATGCATTATTACTAACCATGGTAATGGCCCATACTGTAACTTACAGATTGAGCCTTTTGTAATGGATGTATGGCTCATGCACAAAGCACAGCTCGGCCATAAATCGCAAGAGGAAAAAAAAAAGACAGGTTCTGTAACTTAGTACAGTACTGACTGAGAAAGGAGGTTAGTAAGATATTAATCATATCCCTGCAGATTAAGATCTTCAAATCAAAACAAACTTTTAAATTTAGCAGGCCTTAATTACAATTAAATATGTTACACTAAATTGACTAATCATAACGCACATACTGACAGCGCGATAAAATAAAATGAAATTAAAAGAACATTAGTGCTTTGACAGATCAGTATTTGAATGTTTAACCCCAGGATGGAATGTGCATTGGTAGAACTCTAAATTTGTAATGGAAAAGGAATGCAAAGGAACTAACATTTTCTTTACCTTCTCCATAATAATTATAGCTGTTGCCAGAGTAATACCTACAATAAAAAAAAATTAAGCTCTTTGTAGAGGCAACAGTTGCTTACCTTACTAACTACAATGTATCTTGATGGATTCATCAACGGAGAAATTCTAATGATGGGTTCCTTGTGAGGACTGGAATGTTGAAAAAAATAACAGACTCAAAATATACATTTAAAGGGTACATTGTACATCTAAGGCTCCATTTAAACCTGCAGCATATTTTTACAATGATATCAAAACAAATTTGGAATCTTGTCATGTGAAGTCAGTGTAATTAGTTAACAACTATTCACTGAAGTGGAGGTGGTTAGTGGTGGATATTTACCGAGCCGTGAAGCGGCGAGGTAAATATCCACCGCTAACCACTGACACTGAGGTGAATAGTTGTTTTAGTATATACTAAAACAGTGAGATAATATACACACTACTGTCGTTAATTTGAGTGATTTCTTCGTTTGTAACAGATGCAAACCGGGATGCCATTTTTCCCGAGTTACTCGGAGGTAAATAGCAGAGGATATTCGGAGTTTGATTAGCCAATCAGAGCGCGCCTTCAACGCTATCCACTGTTTTAGTTTATACTAATTCCTAATATTGAAAAAGGTGCTCTGTGTAATTGCTTTAAGCTTTTATGTAAATAAGATAATTTAACTCATTATAACTTTTAAAGCAAACTTTTAACCTAGTAATATTCCTGAGTTCTCGCCATTGAGGAACCTATCAAAATGATGAAAGGTAAAGAAAAGGTTAGAGGCTAAATTTAACTTTTGGAAACAAAAGTTCTTGTTATACCAGTCCTGTACCTTTTAACATCTGTTTTTTTCCTATATGAGGCAAAAGAAACTTACAGTAACTGTTGTTACCAAGAAACAACTGTACAGCACAAATTTCACATCCTAGAAAATGTTTGGTTGAAGTTTACAAACATTTCAAAAAGATAAAATTCATCATATCTCAAAAGGCTAATACTACAGTGTAACTTACAATTACTTATTAACCTTCTCAATCTAAACTTTTAAAGCCAATGAAGTTATTTAGGAACTAATACATGTATTTGCCTGACTGCAGCTGGATATCAAGTAAACCTGATTGTTTGTAAATGGACTTATCCAGTTTGTTAAGATCCAAGCATTGCAATTAAAGTACACTTAGATCCTAACTCCAATCTCTGACCTCAGTTACTCCCCATGCAATGTTTTGCTACATTCAGTTAATTTACCCAATGGTGGGTCTCTAAGTAGGCAGGGTCCACCCTGAGTTTGGACCACCCAGGGCTCGACACTAATGGTAGCTAGCCCACTAGCCACAGACTAGTAGAAATTCGGTTTCAGTTGGCCGGTTTTCAATTTCTACTAGCCAGTTTGGCTAGTAAACAGACTGAAATTGTTGTAACATCTAAAGACATCTAAGATGTCACTAGCCACTTGGCTAGTAAGTTGAAAAGTTAGTGTCAAGCCCTGCCACCAAAGGTAAACCATGCATAACAATGCCAGGATTCAATGCAATTTGGATAACCCTTTACAACCTTAGATCCTCAATGCATACTCTCCAAACTGCTCCTTATACATTTCCTAAGGTGTTGACAAGGTGAATTTTTTAACAATCAAGAGCTTTTTTAGTAGGTGATCAATTCCTTTATTCTCCTGACTTTAATGTGTGATTCAGGGGTGACATTGTAGGAAGAAATTAGATGCTTGTCACTCTTAGGGTTTAAAGGGTTAAGACATGTCATTACAGTGTAAATCACTCCCTACTGTGCTAATAAAAGCTTTTCTTATTATACAGTATAACCCAGTCCTAACTCAAACTCTGAGCCAAGAAAGAGTAAAAATTAGTTCCATCAAATGGAGAGTTCAAGTTAACTAAATAGTCCATTTTACAGTTGTGTGCTTGGTTGCCAAGCCTTTGAATGGGAGTGAGGCTAGAGATGACCTTGTTATGATACAAACCTTGCTGCCTTTCAAATGTAAATCACTTTGTTATCATGCTAACTAGATACAGGTCTCTATCACAACAAGGTCATCTTTAGCCTCACTCTGAATCAAAGGCTTGGCAACTAAGTACACAACTGTAAAATGGCCTATTCAAGTTGGCTGATGGTAAATGATTGAAAAATTAGGTTCAAATCCAGGGGAAATCACATTTTGTTTCAGATAGTGAGAAGCTTCAGTTAAACCAGTTCAAGGTGGCAAGGTACAGTATATCTACTGAATAAAAATTTGCTCTTTACCTGTGTAGTTTTCATTCTATCATCTTTTTCATAGTATTCTAGCAGCATATGAGAACAAAATCTGTCCCAGTCAACATAGCCTTCCTTTCCCACATCAACTTTGTTAAACAGATCTTCGTATTCTTCTCTTGAACCTTTGTTGAGCACAATGGAGAGAATTTCACAGAACTGATCCACATCCAAGCTGAGCTCACGTTCATTACCTGACTGGTTTATCTGAAATGATCACAAAAAGTCTATTTTGTATTTTTTTGTATTTAAGAATTTGATAAAGGCAGGTAAATGTACAAGAGGACAAGGTTGTCCCCCACTTGGTTAATTATCTTTCCCTATCCCCTACCCCAATTTCAGTAAATAGGCCAGACCACAATACCGGGAGCTACATTCCCTTCTCTTTGTAATAAGTTAGTGAGTTCTTTAATGCCCCTTGCTAACCAGTACAGAGAAGATGAAGGAGACTGAGCTTACAGTTTTGTCCTCCTTATCCAAGAAGACTAGAATGCCTATTCATTTCTTGATATAATAGAAAGGTATCACATTCCCCTTAGTTATTTAGGACCCTGAGTGATGGTCCAGTCTGTGGGCTCAAAATCTCAACCTCCCGCTTGCATGGCAGTCTGGCACTCCACTTGAGCTAACCAGGTGGCGGTCTTAA